TTTTTAAATGGAATTTGTGCTTCCTTTCCTTACTCTCATTTCCTTAAACTCTTCCTTTCCTTAAACTTGTGGTTTAAGGAGTGGTTTTTCAAGAGAACAGAGGTGAAACCACCCTTACATCACTATCCTCCAAGCCGAAGTCCAGGTTTCCTTTCACACTGGGACCCATCACCACCCCTTTGATGATGGCAGCTGGGTCACTTTCAGTCTGTACTTCCCGCTCCACTTTCAGAGTTTCTTACTTTTGTTTTTCACTTTTCATGGAATGGAAAAGAAAATGAAGAAACTGAACAATTTCTGTGGTGTTCTTCCAGCTTTTCACTGTCTTCAAGATGGATTTAACTTCCATTCTTACACTATGTATAGGCTTTGCTTCTTAAAAATTTCATCCAGACTACCTGTCCATATCTGCCTGCACCCAAGCCTGAATTTCATTGTTGATTCTTGTATGTATGACAAATATCCTATTGTGTTTTCAAAGTGCTGAATGGAGATTTCTGGCCCAGATAGATGCATAGATAAATATGCTTTGCTTCCTCACACAACCAAAAATGGACCACAACAAACTAAAAAAAAAAAAAAATCAACATAACTGCCAGAAAATCAAACTGTATCAAAGTCCAACAATGAAGGACTTAAAGAAGAAATATTCATCCAGACTGGTAGGAGGGGTGGAGATGGGCAGCCAATGAAGAGAGGACAGTGGCAAGGTTGTGGACTGGAAGGGTCAAGGCAGTGGCTGGCAAACTGGATATCCCACAATTGCAGGCAGATAAACTGGAACAACTGGGGAGTGAGACAAACAACACATCCCAGGGTTCCACCGTGGGGAAATAAAGCTCAAAACCTCTGGCTGCAAAATCTGTGGGGGTTGTGGCAGTAGGATTAACTTCCAGTCTCACAGGAGAGTTCACCGGAGAGACCTACGGGGTCCTAGAATGTACACCAATCCAGGCCCAAGATGGAGGCATAGGTGGACACACTATGCCTCCTCACACAACCAAGATAGGGAAGACAACAATTTAGAAACAGAAAAACCAAAACTGACAGAAAATTGATCTGAATGGAAGTCAGACAACCAAGAAGTTGAAATTGACCCATTCATCCAGACTGGTAGGAGGGGTGCAGTCAAGCAGCCAGATGCAGGTCTCGGTTGGGGAGCAGGGAGTGTTGGGACCAGCGCGTAAAGCATCCGGGGGCACATAAAGCATCCGAGGCGTGCAAGACCGCAGCAGGTGGACCCTGAGTGCGCAACCGGCAGCTGGCGGACCCCGGCCGAGGGGTGGCAACTGGCAGACCCAGTGAGGCAGCGATTGTGAAGCAAGGCACTGCACACAACCCAGGATCCCAGCGCTGAGAAATAGAGCCTCAGGACACTGATTGAGGACACCTGTGGGAGTTGAGGTGCACGGAGAGACACCCAGCCTCACAGGAGAGGTCCTTGGAGGGTCCCATGGCATGCACAAGCCCACTCACATGGGAATTGGCACCAGAGGGAACCAGTTTGCTCCGGAGAAGCAGCAGAAGGGACTGAGGTCCCACAGAAAATGGAGCAAGCACCATTGTTCCCTCTCAACCCCTCCCCCACATACAACATCACACCCCAGTGACTAGGGTGCCCATCCCTGGTGAACACCTAAGGCTCTGACCCTCGCCATAACAGGTGTGACCAGACCAAAAGAGAGAGAGAGAGAGAGAGAGAGAGAGAGAGAGAGATGGCTCAAACAGAAGACCAAATAAAAGCCCCAGAACTATCCTTTTAAGCGACTGAGAGATAGCCAACCTATCAGATGCACAGTTCAAAACACTGGTGATCAGGATGCTCACAGAATTAGTTGATTTTGGTCGCAAATTAGATGAACAAATGCAGGCTACAATAAGTGAAATGAAAAAAAAATACACAGGGAACCAACAGTAATGGAAAGAAAGCTGGATCTCACATCAATGGAGTGGACCAGAAGGAAGAAAGACACAACCACACAGAAAAGAATGAACAAACAAGAATTTAAAAAAAAAATGAGGAGAGGCTTAGGAACCTCCAGGACATCTTCAAATGTTCCAACATCCTAATTATAGGGGTACCAGAAGGAGAAAAGGAAGACCAACAAGTGGAAAAGTTATTTGAACAAATAATAAAGGAGAACTTCCCCATTCTGGCAAAGGAAATGGACTTCCAGGAAGTCCAGGAAGCTCAGAGAGTTCCAAAGAAGTTGGACCCAAGGAGGAACACACCAAGGCACATCATAATTACATTAGCCAAGGTAAAAATGAAGGAGAGAATCCTAGAAGCAGCAAGAGATAAGGAGACAGTCACCTACAAAGGAGTTCCCATCACACTGTCAGCTGATTTCTCAAAAGAGACCTTACAGGCAAGAAGGGGCTGGAAAGAAGTATTCCAAGTCATGAAAGGCAAGGACCTACATCCAAGATTGCTCTATCCAGCAAAGCTTTCATTTAGAATGGAAAGGCAGATAAAGTGCTTCTCAGTTAAGGTCAAGTTAAAGGAGTTCATCATCACCAAGCCCTTATTTTATGAAATGTTCAAGGGACTTATCTAAGAAAAAAAAGATAAAAAACAGGTATAGTAAAATGATAGCAAACTCACAATTATTAACAACCACACCTAAAACAAAACCAAAAGAAACTAAGCAAACAACTAGAACAGGAACAGAACCACAGAAATGGAGATCACATGGAGGGCTAGCAACAGGGGAGTGGGAGGAGGAGAGAGGGGGAAAAGGTACAGAGAATAAGTAGCATAGATGGTAGGTAAAAAATAGACAGGGGGAGGGCAAGAATAGTATAGGAAATGCAGAAGTTAAAGAACTTATGACACATGGACATGAACCAAAGGGAGGTAATGTGGGTGGGAGAGAGTATGCAGGGTGGAGGGGAGTGAAGGAGGAAATCAGACAACTGTAATAGCATAATCAATAAAATATATTTTTTAAAAATGTACACCAATCCACCCACCCAGGAATCAGCACCAGAAGGGTCCAATCTGCTTGTGGGTAGCAGGGGAAGTGACTGAAGGCAGGATGAGAGCCCAGCAAGCAGCATTGTTTCCTCTCTGAAACACATACATACGACATACGTTCCCCACATACAGCGACATAACACAACAAAGTGCATTGCTCCTCCCTGGTGAATACCTAAGGCTCCGCCCCTTACCATGTAACAGGCCATTGCTGAGAAAAAGAAATAGGCCTGAATGAAAGAACAGATGAAAACTCCAGAAAAGGAACTAGGCAATAAGGAGTTAGACAATATATCAGATGCAGAGTTCAAATCACTGGTAATCAGGATGCTCACAGAAATGGTTGAGTATAAGTGCAAAATAGAGGAAGAAGTAAAGGCTCTGCAATGTGAAATAAAAATATATAGGAAACCAACAGTGAAGGGGAAGAAACCAGGACAGAAATCAATGATTTGGAACAAAAGGAAGAAATAAACATTCAACCAGAACAGAATTAAGAAACAAGAATTCAAAAAAATGAGACAAGGCTTAGGAACCTCTGGGACAACTTTAAGTGCTCTAACATCCAAATCATAGGGGTGCATTTGGATGTTAGAAGAGAAGAGAAAGAGCAAGAAATTGAAAATTTATTTGAACAGATAATGAAGGAGAACTTCCCCAGTCTGGCAAAGGAAATAGACTTCCAGGAAGTCCAGGAAGCTCAGAGAGTCCCAAAGTAATTGGACCCAAGGAGAGACACACCAAGGCACATCATAATAAAGTTACCCAAGATTAAAGATAAGGAGAGAATCTTAAAAGCAGCAAGAGAAAAGGCGACAGTTACCTACAAAGGAGTTTCCATAAGACTGTCAGTTGATTTCTCAAAGGAAACCTTACAGGCAAGAAAGGGCTGGAAATCAGTATTCCAAGTCATGAAAGGCAAGAACCTACACCCAAGATTACTCCATCCAACAAACTATCATTTATAATAAAGGGCAAATAAAGTGCTTCCCAGATAAGGTTCATCATCACCAAGCCCTTATTATATGAAATATTAAAGGGACTTATCTAAGAAAAAGAAGATCAAAACTGTGAATAGTAAAATGACAACAAATTCACAACTATCAACAACTGCACCTAAAAGACAAAAACAAAAACAAACCAAGAAAACAACTAGAACAGGAACAGAATCACAGAAATGGAGATCACATGGAGGGTTATTGGCAGGGAGGGGGTGGGAGGAGGATGAGGGAAAAGGTACAGGGAATAAGAAGCATAAATGGTATATACAGAATAGATGGGGGGACAGAGGTTAAGAATAGTACAGGAAAAGGAGAAGCCAAAGAATTTGCATGTATGACCCATGGACATGAACTAAGGGGGATGAGGGAGAAGGCTGGTGGGAGGGTAGGTGCAGGGTGGAGGGGGATAAAAGGGAGGAAAAATGGGACAACTATAATAGCATAATTGATAAAATAAACTTAAAAAATAATAAAGATCAGAGCACCAAAGGCCAAAAAAAAGCCTCAAAAACAAAATAAAGTGCTTGATGTCTTCCAAATTTTTCATTTTTTAATAAAAAAGCCTTCTCAGACTTATGCTTTTCTGAAGTTCCATGCCAGCTAACACTCTTTAAGGACATTGTGACATTTTGAAAGGACCATATTTCTTTTCTCTTGACCACCCTTTAATGGGGACAGATATCCCAAGAGATTGATGACCACGAAGGTGTGCTTCCTCCCACTACCTGTCCTGACAAGTAACCCCTCAAGGGGATGTGATTGCAAGGCCATAGATTAACAGGAGATGCCTCATAGATGCTTACCAAGTAGAGAATCTTAGATTTCTTGCACAAGCTAGAGTCAGATCAATTTTTTAGTTCTTGCTCAGTCACTGTAGGGCATGAAACACCCTACTTCCCCAGAACACCAGAGGGAGAACAGGGCTCTTGACTGAACTTAAGCAAAATAATCCCCAGAAGCCCTGGGCGCCCCCTTAGGTTACAATCAGTCATAATAACCTGTCTTCCGTGCTCCACAGCAGGATGTGTGGCAGGTTCCTGAGGCAGCTGGTGGCTGAGGAGAGCTGGCATTCCACCCCCGTGGGGTGCCTCCTTCTTCCCGTGCTCCTGGGGTTCCGCCTTGTGCTGCTGGCTGCCAGTGGGACTGGGGTCTATGGCGATGAGCAGAGCGAATTCGTGTGTCACACCCAGCAGCCAGGCTGCAAGGCTGCCTGCTACGATGCCTTCCACACCCTCTCCCCACTGCGCTTCTGGGCCTTCCAGGTCATCTTGGTGGCTGTGCCCAGTGCCCTCTACATGGGTTTCACCGTGTATCATGGCATCTGGCATTGGGAAGACTCGGGAAAGGTGAAGAAGAAAGAGGAGACCCTGACCCAACAAGGACAGGGCAGCACAGATGCCTCAGGGGCTGAAAGGCCCAGGCTGCTCTGGGCCTATGTGGCACAGCTGGGGGTGCGACTGGTCCTTGAGGGGGCAGCCTTGGGGGGCAGTACCATCTGTATGGGTTCAAGATGCCCAGCTCCTTCGCATGTCGTCGAGAGCCTTGCCTTGGCAGTATAACCTGCAATCTGTCCCGCCCCACTGAGAAGACCATTTTCCTAAAGACCATGTTTGGGGTAGGTGGGCTCTGTCTCTTCTTTACTCTTTTGGAGCTTGTGCTTTTGGGCCTGGGGAGATGGTGTGAGCCCCTGGGGACTTTCTCTTCTTCCTGACACATGCCTGCCCTGGACAGCACAAGGATGCCCCAGTGATACTCTGTCTAATCTGCTTGACCAGCCTTATTCTTTCCAAAACACCATGTGCCCCCACAGTCCAGTTAATAGTGGTGACATCTGATAACCTGGCCCAGCAGTGAATATAGCCAAGTATATGGACCCCTCCACTACATGACCAAACCAATTATCTTCCTAAAAATCCAGACTTGGGATCAATAGTGCCTGCAGTCTGTGCCAGGGGCATGAACAAGAAAAGGAGGAAATCTGGGTGTGCTTGGTGTACGTTAGCCTGATGTACAAGTAGAGGGAATGGCTTTTGGGCCTACAAGGAGAAAACAAAATCAGTGAGTAAGAAATGAGAGATAGATCACAGAGACCCAGACAGAGATGAGAGACAGTGGGCAGGGAGAGTGGTGAGGGTGTCGTCTGAGTTGCTGATGGCTTTCCAGTTTCTGTTCCACTTCTTTGAACAGGACTGGAACTGGGCCTGGGGAGCCAGGCTGACAGTGTCCCTGCCCCAATCCACTGTTTCCCAATGTAGGGGTATGGGACATTTGGATGAGAACATTGGGATTGACAGAACCCCACTAGAATGTGGCTAAACATCAGCTTAACTGGAAAATAAAGATTCCGGGGAAATCTGGCCTGTGTCCAGGGGGCTGCTGCACAGGAAATCGGGTGGACTCTGAGGCTGGGTGGAGTTCCAGGGGCAGAAATAACTCTTCCCCATGAGCAGGTACTTATGCACAAATCACACCAGTGAGGCAGAAACTGCAGAATGTGTGTGTGCCACCAGACTGGGGAACACAAGATGCTCTGGACACACTTCTCCACATTATTTACATATTGACCCATATCATTTCCCTCACCACAGGTTGCTGTGTCAAGGTCTTGAGAAGTAATCCTCTAAAGCAAACACAGAAAGGGGAAGTATGACATAAAGGCCAAATTGCTCTGGATTAAAATTTTAATGTGAAAAATTAAAATCAAGCTCTTAAATGTACTATTGGAAAATATTTTTATAACCGTGGGGGCAGGAAGGATTTCCTAAACAAGACTCAAAAAGTATAAGTAAAAAATAAGCTCTGGCTGGTGTGGCTCAGTGGATTGAGTGCTGGCCTGCGAAACAAAGGGTCACCAGTTCCATTCCAGTCAGGGCACATGCTTGAGTTATGGGCCAGTGCCCTCAGTAGGGAGTGTGCAAGAGGCAACCACACATTGATGTTTCTCTCCCTCTCTTTCTCCCTCCCTTCACCTCTCTCTAAAAATAAATAAGAAAGAAAGCTTGATTAAAGTCTACTGCATTAAAACTTAAAATGTGTACAACAAAGCAAAAACAAAGTGAAAAGCAAATAAATCCACATGCTGAGAAGATATATTTTGTGTGCATAAAATCAACGAAATATTTAATATCCAAATGCATTTTTAAACACCAACAAATCAATGAGTAAAGGCAAGTGGGGAATGGACAAATATTATGAACAAGAAATTCACAAAAGAGAAAATAGGAAGTGGGAAATAAATAGATACTCAACTTCACTAGTAAATGGGAAAGTGCAAATTAAAACAGTGAGATATATCAAAACCACAAGAAGACACCACTTCATACACACCAGGATGGTCAGAATCCAAAAGTCAAACAACCGGTGTCGGCAAGGATGTGAAGAACAGGAGCGCTCAGGCGCTGGTGGGAATGTAAAATGGAGCAGCTGCTGCTGAAAAGTTTGTTGGTTCCTCCAAAGGTTAGACAGAGTTGCCACATGACCCAGCAATTCTATTTCCAGGTACATTCCCAAAGAAATATAAACACATGTCCTCCTAAAATCTTATACAGGAATGTTTACAACGGTATTATTCATAATAGCCAAAAGGTGGAAAAAAACTCTATGACTATCATTAGATAAATAAAATATGGCATAATCACATAGTAAAATACTATTCATTAATAAAAAGAAGTGAAATACTAATGCATGCTAGATCATGGATGAACCTTGAAAACATTATGGTAAGTGAAAAAAGTCAATCATAGAGGCTCACATATTATATAATTCCTTTCATAGGAAACATCCAGAATAGGCAAGTCTGTAGATCAGGCAGTAAAATAGGGGCTGACTGGAGCTGGAGGTAGGGGGTCGGGATGACAGCTAACTTTTGCGCAGGGTCTCTTCTGAAGTCAGTCATGCTGATGCTTGCACAACTCTGTAAATGCACAGAAACTACTGACGTATACGGACACTTTACATGGGTGGATTGTATGTGAACTACATGTGAATAAAGGTGTTTTTTTGATGAGACATGTATCTTCCCCTCACCTACCCAAGGACGGTGAGCAATGGGAACGCTCACACACTGCTGGTGGGAAAGTAGTGGGGGGCAAGCACTTTGGACAGTATCTAGTAAAGCCAGACATTTACAGATCTGTGTACTGAACAACGTCGCTCTTTGGCAGGTGCCCTGTGCAAATCCACGCAGGTTTGCAGGAAGAGACGAGTGCAATTCTATGTACTGCAACATTGTTTATGATAGTGAAATTTGGGGGGGTTGCTTTTATTTTTTATTGTATTTTTCCATTACCATTTATCCCCCTATGCCCTCTTCCACATCCGCCTCCACCCCACTAAAATTTGTTTTTAAAAAGATCAAAGTGTTCACCAATAGACTAGTTGACAACATAAATTGTGACATAATCATAGGATGGAATGCTATACTGAACTTAGAGTTAGTGAACTAGAGCTACATGGGTTAATATAAATCACCTCAGAAATATATAATTTCATAAAAAGGTAAGTTTCAAAATAATATATACAGTATATCCACTTTATAATGTTAAATACATATAACCCAGTATTATTTATGGATTTATCACATGCAGTAAACTAAAAATATGCAGAGGAAGCAGAACCAGCATATTCACAAAGAAGATGCCTCTGGCAGAGAGAAGACGGGGCCTACAAGGACTATGTATATCTGCTTTCCTAATGTTTTAGGTCTTTAAAATGTGTGTGTGCGTGTGTGTGTGTGTGTGTGTAGCAAAAATGGCAAAATGCTGAGATTTAGCAAAAGTAGGTTGTTATTTCACATGTGGTTATTTATAATATGCTCTACATTTTCTGTACTATTGAAATATTTCATAATAAAATTAAAGTACTAAATGGCATTTAAAATGAAATTTAATTAACATGCATTATTCTATTTAAATTTTTTAACTTCAAATACTGACTATACACAGCAGCAAATTCATCTGGGTGCATAACAGTGCTGTGGGGTTTCAGGAGGTCGGTGAATCTGTGCACAGAGGCACGAGGAGGCAGGAAAAGGTGGTGCCCAGCAGGGATGGACACTAGTTTTAAATGGAGACTCTGAAAGGAAATGGCCTGGCCAAGTTCATGTGGTTTATGAATGACAGAGGCTGAATTGGAAGAAGAAACTTCCAATTACCAGATCAGTGCTATACTCACTGCACTTGTTCCCCCAAGTTCAAAGTCATACAGAGCCCTCAGGTAGGAATTCAGAAGCATTTCAAAGTTACCTCTTGAGGTCATATGAATATTAGGTAATTACCAAGACAAACTTCATCACTAAAACATACTGTTAGCATAAAATTAAAATATGTGTTACAAAACATTACACATTCAGTAAAGAAAATGTGTATGTTTTAAAGAAAAGTATAAAGAAGAAAAACTTAGGGGACATGGGCTGGGATGGGAGTAAAAGGCAGAAAACTGTACTTGAACAACAATTAAAATTTTTGTAAAAATGAAGAAAAACTCAACAAATCCCATCACTTAAATATGATCTTTCTCAACATTTTTATTTTGCTATACATTAACTTTTTAAAAATATATAAATTTGCAAATATTGTACAACTTACATCCTAATTATTTCCCATGTCCTGGAATATCCTGTGCAAGTGTTTGTTCTCCAGTGATAATATTCCATTGAATCGATGCTCCATGGCTTAACTAAAATGTACCCCTATGTCAGAGGCTTCTGCTGTTTCTAGTTTTTGATAGTGTAAATATTGCTGTGATATCTTCATGTCTGCCTTTTTAAAGCTTCTTGATGCATATTGCTAAGCTGTCTTCTGAAACAATTGTCCATCCTTCTTGAGGACTATTTGTCTTTAGATATGAGAACAAGTTCTTAATACAATACTATTGAACACCTCCACCCCACCCCACCCCAAAAAAGATACAAAACAGGGTATATGAGTTTGGGTTACTGGCTAAGCAAGTGGCCTTCGGAATAAAATTTAACAGCTTTAACTGGATGCTCTGCCATTTATAAGTCTGGGATTTCTCTACCTCAGTTTTCTTGTCTGGGAAATAGAAATAATGTAGTACTTACCTCAGAGTGTGATGAGGATTAAAGTGAAGTAACACAGTAACTCTTTTTAGGGGCTGGTACATAAACATTAAATAATTATTAGCTATACTAGTTATTATGTTTGTTATTGTTATTGAGATAAAGGCCTTCTTAAGCCAGGTACTGTTCAAAAATCTACCTGTACTAATTAATTTATTCCTCCAGACGACAGAAGTGTTGGGAACACCTCCCAGGTTAGACCCGTACACGGAAGGAGTGAGCCCTTCTTCCCCCTTCGGTCCTCCCTATTCTGCTCCTTGGAAACGGAGGTCGTGCCTGAACCTCCGTCTTGCACTGTGACCATGACAACAGCACCCTGAGGATAATGGAACCAAAGCTGAAAGCAACCTAGGTCCCAGGTGACAGTGGAGCCAGCGATCCAGCCCTGAATTGCCTAATTCAGACTTTTTAGATGTGAGAGAAATAATCCTCTGTCTTCCTTAAACCAGTCTTACCTGGAGTCCCATACACGTCTGTCAAACCTACATCCTAACTCGTATAGCCGGCCACCAGGCAGGTTCTGCCATTTGAGTCATTCCCGGGGTTTGTATTGAAATAAAGTCTCAAACTTCTGAAATGGCCTTTCCTGAAACTGAGACAGGAACAATTAAAAGGTGATAAAAACCCGGAAA